GGGGGGGGGGGCTACTTCCTCTTCCATTTTACAATTGGACGCCTCCTAGGACGTCTTTATGTGCAACGTGGTCATTTTCGCCGTATTTGCGTCTAAAAAGCACTCTAGCACCCAACCGGTGCAAGATGGAGTCGAACGGACTGATTTTTTGCCTAAAGGCCTCTACTATCACGAGTTACCCCTTAGGGGACCATAAAAAAAATGATTTCCTACTTTTTGGACCAAATCCTATTTCTTTGTTACCCGCTTTCACCCCCTTAGAGATGGTTTCCAGGATTTGCACCACGCGTTTCGTTGTCCAGGAGTGACCTCTAAGATACCCTGAAATTTGTAGACCTCTATCTCAACTCCTTCCTCTTACACGGACGTACGGACGGACGACCACGAGAGCGGTTGCATAAGCCCGCTTTAATTAGTTTTTTTAAAAGCACAAGGGCGGGCTAAAAAACGGACTAATGTGCCCCACTTTCCCCTTCCTTACTGTTCAGCTGGTGGATGGATACTGATTTACCGGAGCGTCTCTGCTAGAGGGGCCCCGCAAGCAGAGAGCATGTAGGCAGGTCTGGACATGTTGGGCCGTCTCTAAGAATGCACGCAAGATAGTCCAAGGCGTGACCCTGCACGGTAAAAACAATGTCTTATCTTTGGAGGGAAAAGGGAAAACTTTGAACTCCCTTGGTTTGTGGAAAGCTCCTCAGACTTCGAGGAAGTCTCCTCAAAATATATGGCACTTCTCATTTTTCGAGGAGGTTCCTCAAAATGTGAGGCGAGATCTGAGGAGTTTTCCTGAAATCTGGGACACCCTCAAGTTTTACCTTTTTCCTCCAAAAATGAGGCATTGTTTTTGCCGGGTGGTGGTCCACGTGGTGTTTTGGTATGATCAAGTGAGTGTCCTTGCACGTGCAGATCAAGGTTTTATTGCTGAGCTTAACTTGAACTTGAAATTAAACTTGAACTTTAAATGCTCAGCTCTGTCAGGAAGCGCAAGGGGAGACCGCCCGGAAGACGGCGTGAAGTGAGGCGCCTGACGTGAGACGTGGGATGTGAGGTGGACAGGCATGCCAACCAAAATCGCGAAAACATTTTAATTTTAGCGCGCCGCAGGCCAAGGTAGACGCACATTTAGCTCAGCTTCACACGGTTTTAACGTGCGTCTACCTTGTATCGATACTCAGCTGAAAGCCTTAACATTACTTCACATCGCAGCCCCACGGGGCACGCGTGGCGAGCGCTCCAACACGTCGCCTCGCATCGGGTGCCCACAAAGGGCGTTTTAAACAAACCAATCCGCCAGCCTCACTGGCGATTCGTCGCAGAGAGTTCAGACGGAGATCAAAGGTAACTTCTTGTCGAAATGTATCGTTAAAGACCACAACCCCGTCATCATTTTACTTTGACCTTCAATTTGGGAGGGACTTCCCCGCGGTTTGTCGCGAATGCGATCTACGTTGGGAAACACTAATGGGCGTGGCCATTTATGTTGAGGAGGATCTGCAGGTACTGGAACCAAACGCGCAATGCGCCCTGACACGAGGCGTGGTTGAGCACAATTATCCCTGGTACACCGAAGGACGCCGGTCGTGCAACAGTGCTCTGAATAACCAGCAGACGAGCACGCCTCGAAACACTGTTCTCGGTCAACCATGGACCCTGCATCGAAAAGAGTGGTGTTAAGAGGTACACTCTTACAGTGGACTCTCGATAACTGTCGCCTCGATAACTGTCGCGTGCGAGAGAGATAGCTATAGAAAAAAAGCGCGTTCCATGCGGACTGACTACCGGCTCCGGCGGCTCGCCGACTCGCCTGCCGGAGGAGTGGGGAGAGCGGAGCACGGCAGCAGCGAACGCACAGTACCCTCGATAACTGTCGCGGCGACAGTTATCGAAAGTCCACTGTAGTTGCAAGGCATTTTCAGACCCAGGTTACATGTGTCTTTCAGAACAGCTTTATCAGATATTACTTTGTATTTGCGGAGGTGAAAGTGCCTTATTTTGTATGTAACTTAAAAACAAAATTTGCATCCTCTTTTGACGAACACAGACACGTTTAGCCTATGTACGAAGATTGTCCTGAGCCATTTAGAGTGTAGTAGCAGGGTGATTCCCAGCACAGGATGCCATTTCGTGTCCTTTCCTTCTAGAAAATGCCTACTGATAGCTATGAGTTCCCGTTCTTCACCTATTTACTAAACGTGGCACGGTTTCAGTATCCAAACGCGTTTTGGAATATACTAGCTCCAGCAAAAGGTCAGACGTGTCCTCACAGTAAGTTCCGTCACACTGTCCCATTACCATAAACCAAGACTTCCTGTCGCTTTTAATTTAAACGCAAAAGAGCTTATAGCGAACACATCGATGTTATTTTCGTTCCGATCTTCACCAAAATTTTCGAGGCGAACGGCTCTTGAATTTGAAATTCCTTCTATCCAATAAGGGCCGACAAAAAATGTTCACCGTAAGCCACGCTTCGTTGTTTAGCTAATATTATGCGCGTTTCCTTCTTTCCGAACGTTATTTGTATTAGTAAAATCCGTCACCATTTTCTCTAGTTAAAACAAGCTGGGCCCGCTCTTCCGCCAAACCAAGTTGCCAGCTCCGCTTCGCTCCACCGGCAACTCGGTTCGGCAGGGAGC